GATGTTCGAGGTTCATCTTGTACATTTCCTGCCCTATGCTGGGAAATGGTATTTTAAGACTGCAAGCACAAAGGATATTCATTGCTATTGAGTTGGTCATTATTTCCACAGGAGAGCCAAGAAATGCATATTGTATCATTTTAAGATTTGCCCATCATTAATACACACAGATATTTCCAATTCATATTCAGTACTACATTATTTTTAGTTAGCCTAATTACCGGAATCTATATCGGCTGTACCAAAATCTTGGTTCTCCTTATAATTACTCACTTGCTGTATCCCACTAACATGTATATAGAGTGTCAGAATAATTATACCAATATTATCACCAACATGTGATTACTATTAACTGTTTAAGATTTTTTTTTTTAAAGATTTTATTTATTTATTTGGCAGACAGAGATCACAAGTAGGTAGAGAAGCAGGCAGAGAGAGAGGAGGAAGCAGACTCCCTGCTGAGCAGAGAGCCCGATGCGGGGCTTGATCCCAGGACCCTGGGATCGTGACCTGAGCTGAAGGCAGAGGCCCTAACCCACTGAGCCACCCAGGCGCCCCAACTGTTTAAGATTTTTAATAGCTCTTTTTATCTTCAGGGTATATCCATATGCTAGGGATATATACAGCCAGAATATAGTCAAATCATAAATTTTGAAGTCCTTTAAAATAATCCCTGTTTGATTCATTTATTTTAACTTTTAGAAATACTTTAAAATTTTTTCTAAATATATAACATATATGTAATTCTAAAGTCTAATTTACAAAACAGGGTGTATTCAGGGAGGTCTAGCTTCCATCCTGTCCCTTCTGCCCTTATTTTTTTTCCCCTTCTCCTCCACTCCCTTTAGTTTTTAGTTCATCCTTTCATTTTTTTTTAAGATTTTTTAAAAAGTTTATTTTATTTATTTGACAGAGATCACAAGTAGACAGAGAGGAAGGCAGAGGGGGAGGGGAAGCAGGCTTCCTGCCCAGCAGAGAGCCCAATACGGGGCTCCATCCCAGGACCCTGAGATCATGACCTGAGCTGAAGGCAGAGGCTTTAACCCACTGAGCCACCCAGGCGCCCCTCATCCTTTCATTTTAAAAAGTAAGCAAATAGGTGTATTCATTCTTTCCTCACTTTTTTCTTTCCTCACCTTCTTAAAGAGTGGCATACTATACATATATTTTTTTCCCATCTTGCCTTCTTCACATAATCATATATCCATCCTGTAGATCACTCCATAGTAGTATAGAGAAGTATTCTGCATAAGTAGTCTCCAGAATTGATTGTTTTAATATAAAAGGATAATTTTAGTTTTATTCGTTTTAAAACCTCAAAGTTTCTTTGTATTATTTTTATTTTTTTAAGATTTTATTTATTTATTTAAGAGAGGGACAGTGAGAGAGAGCATGAAAGGGGAGAAGGTCAAGGTCAGAGGGAGAAGCAGACTCCTCATGGAGCTGGGAGCCCGATGCAGTATGCGATCCCAGGACTCCGGGATCATGACCTGAGCTGAAGGCAGTTGCTTAACCAACTGAGCCACCCAGGTGCCCCTGTATTCTTTTTTTTTTTTTTTAATTTATTTATTTGAGAGAGAGAGTGAAAGCATAAGCAAGGGAGAGCAGCAGAGGGAGAGAGAGAAGCAGGCTCCCCAATGAGCAGGGATGCCGATGTGGGGCTTGATCCCAGGACCCTGGGATAATGACCTGAGCCACCCAGGCGTCCCCAGTTTTTTTGTATTCTTAATGGCTTTGTATATAATAGAAAATATTTGTTAAAATGAAACTTTATTATTAAAACATCTCAAGAAGAGCTTTTCAAGCTTAGTTTACATTTTCTTGTGGCTTTGTTGATTCACAATAATGAACTTGTAGTAATAATTTAAAAAATTTTTTTATTAAGTTTTAATTTTAATTCCAGTGTGGTTAACATACAGTGTAATATTAGTTTCAGGTGTACAGTCTTGTGACTCAGCATTTCCACACATCACCCTGTACTCATCACAGCAGGTGCCCTCCTTCAGCCCCATCACTTGGCAAACTGAGAAAGTTTGCCTCTCTTTTTCTCCTCTGCTTATTTTGTTTCTTAAATTCCACATAGGAGTGAAATCATATGGTATGTCATTCTTTTTTTTCACTTAGCATAATATACCTCCATACACATTGCAAATGGCAAGATTTCATTCTTTTTTAATAGCTGAATAATATTCTATTGCATATACCATAACTTCTTTATCCATTCATCTATTGACGGAACTTGGACTTTTTCTATAATTTGGCTAGTGTATATAATGCAGCTATAAACATAGGGGTGCATGTATTTCTTTGAGTTAGTGTATTTTTGTACTTTTGGGGTAAATACCCAGTAGTGCGATTACTGGGTCATAGGATAGTTCTATTTTTAACTTTTTTGAGGACCCTCCACACTGTTTTCCAGAGTGGCTGCACCAATTTGCATTCCCACTAATAGTGCAAGAGGGTTCCCCTTTCTTCCATAGTAATATTTTTTAATTTAGCCTGTATCCTGTATGTGTTGTGCTACCTGAATGCTCTGCATCAGAATTAGAGAAGAATTCAGTAGGATTTTTTTTTTTTTAAGATTTTATTTGACAGAGAGAGCGGGCACAAGCAGAGGGAGGGGCAGAGAGAGAGGGAGAAGCAGACAGGAGCCGGGATCGTGACCTGAGCTGAAGGCAGACACTTAACTGATTAAGCCACCCAAGCACCTCATCAGTATGGTTAATCAAACATCAAATTAGTCATCTCTTTATAAAATGTTTTTTTTAAAAGATTGTATTTATTTATTTGACAGAGAGATCACAAGTAGGCAGAGAGGTAGGCAGAGACGGGGGGGGGGTCCCCCCGCTGAGCAGAGAGCCCAATGTGGGGCTCCATCCCAGGACCTTGAGATCATGACCCGAGCCAAAGGCAGAGGCTTTAACCCACTGAACCACCCAGGTGCCCCTCTTTATAAAATCTTAATCTTAAAAGTACCATGTGTAGAGGCGCCTGGGTGGCTCAGTCAGTTAAGTGTCTATATTGCTATAGTTAGTACAGTTATTAATATGTAGTTTAAAAAAGTCCTGGGGTGCCTGGGTGGCTCAGTCTTTGGCGTCTGCCTTCGGCTCAGGTCATGATCCCAGGATCCTGGAATCGAGTCCCGTGTCAGGCTCCTGGCTCAGTGGGGAGGCTGCTTCTCCCTCTGCCTGCCGCTTCCCCTGCGTATGCCCTCTCTCCTCTGACAAATAAAATCTTGAAAAACAAAACCGAAAAACTACCATGTGTAGTTGTGTGTTTTAATTTTATATATCCTCCTAAAGAAGGCTAGTATTCTGCTGATCTTAATATATTTATAGTTTTGACTTCAAAAACATATCAAATTTAACTCAAAATTCTACACAAAACTTTAGTTTTTCTTTCAAAAATGTTTAAATTCAAGTTAGTTCCCATATAGTATATTACTAGTTTCAGAGATAGAATTTAGTGTTTCATCAGTTGCATGTAATACCCTGTGCTCATTACATCGCATGCCCTCCTTAATATCCATCACCCACTGACCCCCTCCCCTCACCCACCTTCCTTCCAGCAGCCCTCAGACGAAACTTTCTATTTTGATAGACTATTTTTTAGAGCAGTTATGGGTTCACAGACTTGAGCATACAGAGATTTCCCATATCCCCCTGCTCCACATGCGCAGTGGCCTCTATTATCAACACGCGCACTGGGTGGTACAGTGGTCACAGCTGAGGGGCCTGCACTGAGAATGCATATTTCACCCAGAGCCCGCAGGTTACTCTAGGGCTCCTTCGTGGTGTCGTGCATTTTATGAGTTTGGACAGATGTGTAATGACATGTGTCTACCATTTCAGTAACCTACGTTGGTCTTCACTGCCCTCAGACTCCTCTGTGCTCTTCCTAGTCCTTCAATTCTCCCCTGAAGCCTTGATTTTTAACATTTTTAAAATGAGCTTGTATTAAGACCTCAGAATTTTGCTTTACACAAATCATTTCAGCCCATCCCTTTCAGTGAAAATAACTATTAGGAAATCCTTCTAATGAAGGTAGTTTATCAACATGGTAGAATTGGAGTCAGATGCCTTCATTTTCATGTGTGAAGTCCACCATTTTTGCTTTAGTCTTATACTAACAGGAATTTTATTTTTATTGAGATGTTGATGAGTAGCGTGTTAGATTCAGGTGTATAACAATGATTTGATATTTATGTTGTGAAATGATCACAGTAAGTCTAGTTAACATACAGCACCATACATAGTAATATGTATAACTATAACTATATATAAATATTGTGATAACTTTTAATATCTACTTAGCAACTGCCAGATATGCAATACCGCATTATTAACTGCGGTCACCATGCTCTTCATTACATCCTCTGACTTAGGAATTTTCTTTCTCAGGAGAAATTCCAATCACATCTTGATTATTTTTAGTCCCATTCAATTTGATTTAACAAAGAAAAATTCTAACCCGGTCATTTTACCTTAAATGTGGAAATGGTGGAGTCTACATTTAGATTATTGGCATCATTTGATTGGGGACTCTTGAGGGACAGTCTTCAGCTAACTGTAATCTGCACTCAGGAAGGAAGGAGACTTCCTCACACTGCTGCCCTCAGACCTCTTTTTGGCCATTTAATATCTGGGTTTTATGAGAATATAATTTCTTTGAATAACTCTAAAAACAATTTAAGCAAAGGTATCATTAAGAGTATCTTATTTATTTATTTATTTATTTTTCAAGATTTTATTCATTTATTTGACAGACAGAGATCACAAGTAGTCAGAGAGGCAGGCGGGGTTGGGAAGCAGGCTCCCCACGGAGCAGAGAGCCCGATGTAGGGCTCGATCCCAGGACTCTGGGATCATGACCTGAGCCAAAGGCAGAGGCTTTAACTCACTGACTGAGCCACCCAGGCGCCCCAAGAGTATCTTATTTATTGATGACACCCTCTACCTAGTTTCTAGGTGTATGGTTGACTTTTTCATTTTTTCCTCTAGTGCATTCCACTCTTTGTTCAACTCGTTTTGGAGAGATTAACCCGAGGAGTCAAAACTAGTGAGCTCCGCACCATGTGTCTTCAGGTTGCAATTGCCGCCTTGTACTACAACCCTGATTTGCTGCTACATACTCTAGAACAAATTCAATTGCCTCACAACCCTGGACCTATAACTGTACAGTTTATAAATCAGTGGATGAATGATACAGATTGTTTTCTTGGGTATGTGTCTTTTGGATTTTATTCTACGTTTCTGTTTCTGGAAAGTTGACTTTTAAAAGTATATAATAGCATATAGAAAGATAATTTTCATTTTTAAGGATTAATATTTAGTGTATTAACCTAATATTTAATTTTTAGAGAATTAAGAATGTGTTTCAGTAGTATAATCTAGTGGAAAGAATCCAGTCTCTGAAAATTAGGTATAGCTTGTCCCTACTGGTTTTTGACTTATGTGCTATCATTGTATCTTGAGGCAACAAGAATTAAGTGTACATCTGGTTCCCTGACTATTAAGTGTCGATAGGCAAAAACATTCTAAACGGGGTTAGGTTTCTAGGGGAAATGCCAGTTTGGTGACAAGACATTGAGCCCTGCAGATCTCAGGGGAGCTTATTCTCAAACATGAGGTCAGAAAGGAGGATTGTTCATTGTAGCCCAAGTGCTGCTCCTGTGGGAGAGTGTGTCTTTATGTGAAGTACTTTCCTAGTGTCCGAACTTAGAAAAAACAAGATGTCTTATAGTATGTACATGCCCTCCTCAAATGACTGAACTCCTATTCGTGACTGTGTTATGCTAGAATTTCAGTTCTGACAATGGCTTACTGGCAGTGTTATACCAAATATAGCAGTCTTTACATTCTTAATATTTTTAAACAATATTTTAGAAGAATATTTCTATACAATATTTTAGAAGAAACAAAAATGTATATAATGTATACTGGTCAAACTTTTTTCCTTCAAAATCAAATTTTCCTTATTATATGTTAAAGCAGAGAACTTTTTTTTTTTTTAAAGATTTTATTTATTTATTTGACAGAGATCACAAGTAGGCAGAGAGGCAGGCAGAGAGAGAGAGGTGGAAGCAAGCTCCCTGCCGAGCAGAGAGCCCGATGCAGGGCTCGATTCCAGGACCCTGGGATCATGACCTGAGCCAAAGGCGAGGCTTTAACCCATTGAGCCACTCAGGTGCCCCAAAGCAGAGAACATTTAATGGATTTAGTTAGAGCTGTCAAGTTTCCCTTATATGCTGAGTTTCTGAATAGCTTTTGGCACCCGGGGTTAGTGTACAGTACTTTGCACTATATACCTTGTATCTAGTCTAATACAGAAGACAGAGTCTAAATTTTTCCTTTTTCCCTGTTGGTTAGGAATTTCCTGCTGTCAAATGTAGGTATTCTTGCTTTAATAGAACTTGTATGCCAAGGCCCAGATGTAGTATTCATATCAATCATAAATTGATATTATAGCAAGGTTGACCATATTAATTGCAGACTTCTCTAGCTCTTTGATGATAATTGGTTTACAAAACATGATTTATGTAGGATTTCATACGGTACAAAATGGGGGATACCTCTGTATAATTCTATTGAATGAATCCTAAGATACTACATTGGCCATTTTTTCTTGTAGTTTTTCAACTGTCCTCATTTCTCATGAACACATTTTTTTTCTTTGTAATTTGTAGGCATCATGACCGGAAGATGTGTATAATAGGACTGAGTATCCTTTTGGAACTGCAAAATCGACCTCCTGCAGTAGATGCTGTAGTGGGACAGATTGTGCCCTCAATTCTTTTCCTTTTCCTTGGCCTAAAGCAGGTCTGTGCTACCAGACAACTGGTAAACCGCGAAGATCGCTCGAAAGCAGAGAAGGCTGATATGGAAGAAAACGGTAAAGTCTTCTAATTGCAATGAGTGCTAGAATTGATACTGATTTGAGCATGCATTTTTAAATTTTAGTCTATTTGGAGTCATTAAACAGAGTTACATTCTTTGGCTTGTTGCACATTTAAAAAATATTTTGGGGTGGATTTACATATCCTGACATGTAACTTTAGATAAGTTCATTTTTTGACATTTAAATAATTATTGAACTTAATGTTACACCTTGGGAAATACAAATACATTTGTAACAGAATCAGATGGTTTTGATGATAAGTTAGCAACCAGTTATTTCTTTTTCTTATTTGTGCTAACAATGTCAATGAAGTCAGCAGCATGAATTATTAAATGAACCACTTAGTTAAAAGCGGAAGTGTCAGTATAGCAGATTAGTAGAGTGCCTGGTACATTTTTTTTAAGTTTTTTTTTTTTTTTTAAGATTTTATTTATTTGACAGAGAGAGAGATCACAAGTAGGCAGAGTGGCAGGCAGAGAGAGAGGGGGAAGTAGGCTCCCTGCTGAGCAGTGAGCCCCATGCGGGGCTCCATCCAAGGACCCTGGGATCACGACCTGAGCCGAAGGCAGAGGCTTAACCCACTGAGCCACCCAGGCGCCCCTTTTTTAAGGTTCTTAATCAGAAACTATTTAGGAGAGACTTATAGTTTATGTATTAATAAATTTAGGGTAAAATACACAAGTGAAGGTTATTCGCTTAATAGAGATTCAGAATAAGATTGTTAGGGTCAAGCATATTAGATCTTTATTTAATGATACTTCAAAAAACTATTTACTTGGGCCCAGGAAGTAACATTATCCAACTCCAAGTGGAGTTTTTCCTCTTCTAGTTAAAAACAGACATTTCTTGGGGCGCCTGGGTGGCTCATTGGTTAAGGCCTCTGCCTTCGGCTTAGGTCATGATGTCAGGGTCCTGGAATCGAGTCCCACATCGGGTTCTCTGCTCAGCAGGGAGCCTGCCTCCTCCTCCTCTCTCTCTCTGCCTGCCTCTCTGCCTACTTGTGATCTGTCAAATAAAAAAAAAAAAAAAATAAACAACTTTAAAAAAAAACTTTAAAAACAGACATTTCTTTAAATGAGAAAAATCAGAACTTTCATGGAAAACCTACATCTTTCTTTTTGATGCTAAATTCTATGATTTCAGCAAGTGTAGATTTAAAACATTTTTCATTTAATTGGCATCATTCTGGTTTGTTCATGTACAAGAAATGGTACCCTTCCCTAACCCCTAACACAGTACACTTCTTCTGATTGAATTTCTTCCTCTCAAAATAAAATTTAAGAGAGAGAGAGTATGCACACATGCGTCCTGTGTGGGGAGGGGCAGAGGCAGAGAGAAAATCCTAAGCAGGCTGCATGCACAGCGTGGAGCCTTATGTGGGGCTCAATCTCTTGACCCTGAGATCATGACCTGAACTAAAATCAAGAGTCAGACACTTAACCAACTGAACCTCCCAGGTACCTCTAATTTCTTTTTCTGAATATCATGTACAACTTTTACAGTAATGCTTCTTTAGTAGAAGTGTTTTGTGTTTTTGCTAAGTATAGGCCAACAGTTATGGAATTCCTTTTTTCAGAATGTTACAATATTCTCCAAGTCTTTATTTTGTAAATTGTTGGTTTATAACTAATATGGCTTGAGAAAAAATTCTGTAGTACTTTCCCAGATTTTCCTGTTGTATTTCCACTGAAGTGTAGAATGATTAACTAGGAAAGGTGTTTCTTGTTATCTTTGTAATTATACCTTTGTCATATATATATATATATATATATACACACACACACACACACACACACATATATGATCAAAAATGTATGTATATATGATCAAAACCAGGGTTTCCTGTCTTACCCCCAAAACTACTTCACAGTTTAATTCAGTGTGGTATGTTTTATAGAACTATTTTTGGAATAATGTTGTCTAGTTTGGGTTTACTCTAGGTTTTTCCCTCTTAGTAAATGCAGAACAAAATCAACCTATCTTTTGGTTATTTACGGTACTGGGCTAACTGCTTAAAACAGATTGACATTGAAAATAAAGCAGAATCCATGATGATACACAATTCAGATTTCAACTTTTCAACCTACATGTAGCTAATTTTTCTCTATTTCTATATTTTTCTGTTTCTATTAGCAGAAACAGTCTCCTCATTTGAGTACTTCTAAGCAGTTCACAATCAACTTAGGTAACTGTTAAGAGACCAGATTCTCAATGGGAGGTCATTGTTATTTTTAACATGTGCACTGACTGTACAATTGTCTTTTTTTTTTTTGTACAAAAAAATTTGGGACTCTGATTAATAGCATTTTTGTAGTAAAGAGTATGAGGCAGCCCTAGCAAAACAGTAGTAATGTCCAGAAGACTTTAGATTTAGGGACACTTGTTTTTAGGAAGGAGGATAAAGTCATTTTCAATTTAGCAAATTACGATAAAGATTTATTTTTAGAATTTCATATATAAATAGATGGTAGTTTTTCCATTTCCAGAATGTTTTGTCCTTTTGTGTTTTCATTTCTTCAATAATTAATGGATTCACAGAGGAGATTTCAAGTGATGAAGAGGAGACAAACGAAACTGCTCAAGCAATGCAATCAAATAATGGAAGAGGTGAAGAAGAGGAGGAGGATGATGATGACTGGGATGAAGAAGTATTAGAAGAAACTGCCCTTGAAGGATTCAGCACACCACTTGACCTTGACAACAGTGTGGATGAATATCAATTTTTTACACAAGCTCTGCTAAGTAGGTCTTTACTTGCTAAATCTTCAGATATTTTCTCTGAAGTCGATCTTCATTTCCTTTGGTTAGAAGTTGTTTTGGGATCTGCCCCAGATTGGTTTAGATGTTAAATTTGGATTCAGTTGTGTTGAGTTTGTGGTGTGTTGTCCACATGGAAAAACGTGGGAGACTTAGGGGATGGTTTTGCCTAAAGCACCAATTCGAGTTCTTGGTGTGGGACCGACGTTGAAGCTGCAGGTACTGTGAGAATCTGGAGGAAAATGACAGCACCTGAGTAGAGGTGTATGTCAAGATCTGGAATTCAGGGATCATAATTAGTAAAACCTCAGGAGGTAGAGAGGGCGAAGGCAGGAGAGAAATGGGCAAAGCAGAGATTGGCAAGTCTTAACCATCCTCTGATAGTCCCACATGGTTGGATACAGAGTGGGTAGAGTACTCAGGAATAATCCTTTGGTGGAGTAAGTTTTACCACCTTGGGTTTGTTATGGTGTTGAACTCTTTCTCTTACTATCTGTAGTCGTCTCATTGTACTTTTATTATCATGTCACTTTTCTCTGAAATGATCATTGTCACTAGACTCTAATCTTTTTCTTCTTCTACAATGCAACAGCTGTGCAGAATCGGGATGCTGCTTGGTACCAGCTGCTCATGGCACCACTCAGTGAGGACCAGAGGAGGGCGCTGCAGGAGGTGTACACCCTGGCTGAGCACCGGAAGACAGTAGCAGGTCAGCTCTCCAGATTTCCAGATTGGAGTGCATGTGTGAGCATGCCAGTAGTCAGCCTTATTAATGAATCTTGTGGCACCTGAAGACTGTTTTAGAAATTACTAGAGGCCAACCTTTAGGGATAATAACGAATTATTATTGTATGATTTTTTAAAAAATGTTGCTTTTTAATCACTCGTGATATCTTAGATCTGCAAAATCCTGTGCATTAATATGTGTCTTTCAGTGGTGGTTATTCAGGAGTACTTACGCTGTATTGTAGAGCCCAAGATGTAAAAAGGTGGGGACGAGTCTTGCCGAGGGAGAGTTAATCAGTTGGATGACCCATCTAAACATCTTAACCCCAGATAGACTGAAGGTACTTCATGAGTTCTTGCAAAGGGCTTGTCTTCCTGGAAATGAAACACTCTTCATTTCTTTTTGCTGGGCTTTACGTGATTCTTGTTGATTTTCAGTTTTTTGACCTGGAGAAATTATTTTATGCAGACATTATTGTGGTTACTCTTAGAAAACCAATGGAAAAGATTTTGAAATTACAAAAATATTTTAGTGGAAAACATCATGGAATAGGTACCTGGGATTTGGGGTCTAAGTTCTTCGGCATGGATTTTAATTTTCAGCCCTGCATAGTCTATGTCAGCCCCCCAATAGGAGAATTCTGGGCATACTTCTAGCAGTAGACTATGGAACTGTTAAAACATAGCTCTGAGACTTGTTTTCATTTTGCTTATTTTTTCTAGAAGTTGAGATAGGGGAGGTAAAGTTTTCTTTTTAGCAGTTTTTCTGTGATAGTAAACATAACTTCTTACTCACATAGCCCTGTTAAAGGTTAATGCTCAGGGACGTCAGGGGAAGATGGCAGAGTAGGAAAACCGTAAGCTCACCTCATCTCACAGATACAACTAGGTAACACTCACATTAGGGTATATAACCCAGAGAATGACTCAAAGACTGGCAGAACAAACTTCACAACAAAAGGTAGAGAAGAGTCCACATCAAAGAGGATAGGAAGGGCGGAGATGTAGTGGGGAACCAAATGGATGGGTCTGTCCACTGGTGGAAGGGACCTGCGGGCATGGAGAGAGGAGAAAAACAGATCATCATACTGTAAAAGCCTGCATGGAAAGATAATCCCCGTAACACCTGGCTTTGAAAACCAGAGGGGCCGGATTTCGTTAGTTCTTACAACCAGGGTGATTTATAGCCTGGAACTTTAAAAAGCAAGTTCAGTTCCAAGAGAGCCTTGAGGGATATAAAAAACTAGGTGCCCACCCCCCATAGCACAACAAACAACCTGCAGAGATACAACATAGAGGCAGTACCTTGAAAAATGCCTGGGGCATACAGGAGGGAGAATTATTTACTAATCTCAGAGTATGTCCCTGAGGGACAGAGATTACTGAAAGACTCCACCAGGAACAAAGTTGCTGGTAGGTGCCATTTCCCTTCCTCACTCTCCCAACCCCCTGCCCCCGCATAAACACTAAGATACCTGCTGGAGCCAGCCTGGAACTTGCCTTCACTACCTAGCTTGCTTACACTATGCCCCAGCCTTTTCAGCTGGGCCTGCCTCAGTCCTGGTGCTGTCTTTAGTCCCCCAAAGACTAACGCAAACCTTGCCACCACTGTGTTTCCACTGTGCACATTGTGGGGGTCTCAGTCCCAGCAGTGGTGGCCAGTCTTGTTAAAACTGTGCACCCTGCCTGTGCATGCCTTGTGGATTGGCCCGGTCTCAGAGACGGAGATATATCTGTGGCAGAGGGCCAGCGCCACCTTGTTAAAACTACTTGCTCCACCCATTACTTTCAAGACAAGATATGTAGCTGAATTTCCTAACAGAAATAAACACAGAAAGTCAGACAAAATGAGGAAGAAGAAATGTCCCAAATAAAAGAACAGGACAAAACAATAGCAAGACACCTAAGCAAAACAGAGGTAAATAATATGCCTGATAGAGAATTTAAAATAACCGTCATAAAGATACTTACTTACTGGAATTGAGAAAACAAGGGAGGATTTCAGTGAGCTCTTTACCAAAGAGAAAACATTGGAAAAGAACCAGTCAGAGAAAAGAACAATAATTGAAATTAAAAATACACAAAATGGAATAAATAGCAGACTAGGGGAAGCAAAATGGATAAGCAACGTGGAGGACAGAGTAATGGAAAGTAATCAAGCTGAGCAGATGAGGGGAAAATAAATTATGCAGAATGAAAATAGACTTAGGGAACTCAGTGTCTCCATCAGGCATAACAACATTTGCTTACAGGGATCCCAGGAAAAGGAGAGAAAGAAGGCAGAAAATTTATTTGAAGAAATAATAGCTGAAAAGTACCTTAATCTGGAGAAGGAAATAGAAATCCAGATTCAGGACGTATAGACATTCCCCCTGACAAAAAATCAACCAAAGAAGGTCCCTTCCAAGACAATAATTTAAATGACACAAAGTGGTGATAAAGAATTTTAAAAGCAGAAAGAGAAAAGAAAGTTATATACAAGGCTGTCAGTGGATTTTTCAGCAGAAACTTTGCAGGCCAGATGGGAGTGGTAAGATATATTCAAAATGCCTGAAGGAAAGTATTTGCAACCAAAAATACTCTATCTGGTAAGGCTATTATTCTGATTAGAAGGAGAGATACAGTGTTTTCCAGACAAACAAAAGTTAAAAGAATTCATGACCACTAAACCAGCACTATAAGAAATGTTAGTGGAAAACAAAAACTATGAATAAGAAAAGTAGGAAGCACAAAGGAAGTGAAAATAAGCATATCTGTAAAAACCAGTCAAGGGATTCACAAAGTAAAAAGAAATGAAGTATGACACCATATACCTAAAATATGGGAGTGGGGGGAGTGACATGTGTAAAGAAAGTTCAAACTTAGGTGACCATCAACTTAATAAAGACTACTATACACAGAAGATGTGGTATACAAACCTAATGATAACCACAAATAAAAAACCAGTAGCAGATACATAAAAAGTAACAGATACACAAAAAATAAAGACAAAGGAATCTAAGTATATCACTAAAGAAGGCCAACTTATAGGGACAGGAGAGCAAGGGAAGAAAGGAATGGAGAAGAACTTCAGAAACAACCAAAACCAAGTTACAAAATGGTAGTAAATACATACCTGTAAGTAAGTGCTATGAATGCACATGGACCAAATTCTCTAATCAAAAGACAGAGGGTGATGGAATGGATAAAAAAAAAAAAACAAGACCCATATATATGCAGTGTTTCACAACATATGGAGACTGAAAGTAAAGGAATGGAAAAACAATTATCATGAAAATGGAAGTGAAAAGCAAGCCAGGATAGCAATACTTAGATCTTAAACACTTTTAAAATAGACAAAGAAGGATGCTACATAATCATAAAGAGAACAATCCAACCAGATGATATGACAATTGTAAATATTTGTGTACCCACCATGGGCACTCCCAAATATATAAAGCAGCTATTAATGAACAAATAAAGTAATTGATAGGAATACTAGAATAGGGGACTTTAACATTCCACTTACATCAATGGATAGATCAAAAGAAAATCAAGAAGAAACAGTGGCTGATTTAAAGGACACATTGGGTCAGATGGCTCTAACAGATATATTCGTAACATTCCATCCTAAAATAGCAGTGTGCACATGGAACATTCTCCATAATACATCCCATGTTAGGTCACAATGCAAGTCTCAACAAATTCAAAAAAGTCATGCCATGCATCTTTTCTGAACACACTTTGAAAGTAGAAATCAACCACAAGAAAAAACCTGGAAAGGACACATATACATGGAGATTAAATAACATGCTAGTAAACAATGAATGATTTCTTGGTTGACCCAAAGAAGAAATAAAAAAAGATACATGTAAACAAATGAAAATGGAAACACAATGGTCCAAGATTGTTGGGAGCAATAAAAGCCATTCTACAAAGGAAGTTCATAGAGGCCTATCTCAAGAACCAAGAAAAATCTTAAAAAACTTAACGTATACCTGAGGGAGCAAGAAAAAGAAGAATAAACAAATCCCCACACCAGCAGAATGAAGGAAATAATAATTAGAGCAGAAATGAATGATATAGAAACTAAAATTTAGAACAGATCAATGAGGTCAGGAGCTGGTTTTGTGAAAAGATCAACAAAATTGATAAACCCTTAACCAGATTCAGAGTAAGAGAGAGAGGGGACTCAAACAAAATCATAAATGGAGAAGGAGAAATAACAACCTAAACCACAGAAACACAAAAGATTGTAAGAGAATGGTGCAAAAAATTATATACCAACAAACTAGATAACCTAGAAGAAATGGATAAATTTCTAGAAACATATAATCTCCCAAAACTGAACCAGCAAGAAATAGAATGTTTGAATAAACCTAATTATCAACAATGAAATTGAATCAGTAATCAAGACTCCCAACAAACAACAGTTCAGGACCAGATGGCTTCACAGGTGAATTTTAACCAAACATTTAAAGACTTAGTATCTATTCTTAAACTTTTCCAAAAAATTGAAGAGGAAAGAAAACTTCCAATTCATTCTGTGAGGCCAACATTACTCTGATATCAAAATGAAATAAAGACACCACAAAAAAGAACTTTAAGGCCAATATCTGTGATGAACATAGATGCAGAAATCATCAACAAAGTATTATTAGCACAATAAATCCAACAATATGTTAAAAAAAAATCATTTACCACAATCAAGTGGGATTTATTACCAGGATGCAAGAGTGGTTCAGTATTCACAAATCAGTGTCTTACATTGCATCAGTAAGAGAAAAGATAAATACCATATGATCATTTTAATAGATGCAGAAAAAGCATTTGACAAAGTATAACATCCATTCATGATAAGAACCGACAACAAAGTTGTTGGAGATGGAACAGAGCTCAACATAATAAAGACTATATATGAAAAACCCACAGTTAACATCATACTCAATGGTGAAAAACTGGGAGCTTTTCTCATTAGGTCAGGAACAAGACAAGAATGTCCATTCTCACCAGTTATTCAGCATAGTACTGGAAGTCCTAACCACATCAATCATCTAAGAAAAAGGAAAAAAGGGACGCCTGGGTGGCTCAGTTGGTTAAGC